GAGGCAGGAGGAGGGGAGGAGTGAGGAGGAGGGGAGGAAGGGGGAGGAGGAGAGCGAGGACGAGGAGGACGAGAAGACGAGGAAGACGGGAGGAGGAGGAGAGAAGGGAGGAGGGATTGAAGAGGGGCGGAGGAGGAGGGGGGGGAGAAGGAAAATGGGGGAGGAGGATGAGGATGAGGGATGAGGATGAGGATGAAAATGACGGATGAGGATTGAGGAGGAGGAGGAGGAGGAGAGGAGGAAGGGAGAGAAGGAGTAGGAGGAGGAGGAGGGAAGGGAGGAGGAGGGGGAGGAGGAGGGTGGGAGAAGGAGGACGACGGAGGGACGAGGAGGACGAGGACGACGAGGAAGGACGATGAGGAGGGGAAGAGGAAGGGAGAATGAGGAGGGGTGAGAGGAGGGGGGGGAGACGGCAAATGGGAGGGGGGGAGGAGGAGGAGGAGGAGGAGGAGGAGGAGGAGGAGGAGGAGGTAGGAGGAGGAGGAGGAGGAGGAGGAGGAGGAGGAGGAGGAGAAGGGGGAGGAGGAGGAGGGAGGTGGAGGAGGAGGAGGGCTGCTCATTGGACTGCTCAAGTGGTGACGGACCCCTCGGGGCCGAGACCGCCCCACCGCGAGCGCCACCACCCCGAGGGACCTAAGAGCCAACGCAGTCGAGGTCGGCGGGCCATCGCCCCAGAGGGGCGGGGCCGGGGACGCCTGCATGCTCGTCCGTGCCACCCGGCCCCGGGCCGCCCCTCCCTGGCCGGCGCCCATGCGGCGGGCGCCGTGCAGGCCGGGCAAGCGCGGCGGCACGGCGTTCCCTAGCACGGGGCAAGCCCCGCACCCCGCCCACCCTCGGGCGCCTTGCCGACATGCGCAGGAGGCCCGCTGGCAGCCCGCGGGCTACAGCGCGGCCCCGGGGGGGAGGGAGGGAGGCAACAGAGGGGGGGGGGGTAAGAGAACAGGCGCCTCGCCCACCAGCGGCAAGGCAACCTCCCGGGCGCGGCCCCACTGCCGGGCTGGGGTCCGGCGCACGGCGCGCTCCGAGGCGGGACCCCCCCCGCCGCCGCCCCCCCCCGCGCTCGCTCCCGGCGTCGCGCCCGCACAGCCGCCCCGGGGGGAAGGGGGCTGGCCTCCGCCCAGTGGCCGCCGCTTCGCGGTGACGGCTTGGCTGGTGGGCGCCAGCAGCCCACGATGTGGCGCGGGCGCGGCAGGGCGAACCGTCGGCGGGGCCAGCGCCGCCGCAGGCTTACAACGAGGAGTGACAACGAGCATACGAGAGCAAGGGCTACGGCCCCCGTCGGCTCAGCGAGCCCGGAGGTGGGCGGGCCTGCTCGGAAGGCTCGGAAGTCCCCCCGCCTCCCGAGAAGTTTTCTAAGCCTTCCCCGAAGGCACAGAAAGACGCTGAGAAGGCCCAAGGCCTTTTGAGCCCGAAGCCTTCTGAGAGGTCCCGCCGCCTTCTGCGAAGGCCTTATCCTTCTCGCTTCCACCCTCGCCCGCCTCCGACCTTGGTCCCGAGACCTGCACCAGGCCAGGAAGGTGCGCCAGCTGGCGACGCAGCAGAAAGTCAGGGACCAGCTGCGCGATCAGAATCAACGCCTAAGCGAGCTGCAGACCAGCTGCGCGAGTGGGAGAAGCGGTGGGACGCCCGGGCATGCTGGGAGCCACTTCCGGCGTAGAAGCACGAGAGGCTCTAACTGCCAGAGGGCGCAAGGGGACCAGGATGCGCGGGGCTAACGAAGTGAAGGCGTTGGGCTGCCCGACCAAGCCGGGGCACCAGAGCGCTCTGGGCCACAGGCAGACGCGGGCCCAACAGAAAGGCCTTGGCCACCAGAACACGCCACGCTACGCGAGCGCGCTGGGGAGCTGGGCCGCATGCAGGCGCTGGGCGGCCAGACGACGCCCGTCTGCGTACCAGAGGGGCACCAGGCGCTCCAGAAGGCGCTCGGCTGCGAGGAAGGCGCCCCGCGGCCACCAGACCGCGCCCAGGCCACGAAGAGGCGCTCTGGGCATCGCTCGGACGTCCATTCCCTGTGCTTTTTTTCGGTTTCGTGCGTGGCTTTCTCGCCAAATCATCAAGGATGCTCCTCGATGGTCCTCGCCGAAAGGAAAAAAGTGCACACGTCCGAGCGATGCCGAGAGGTGGGCTGCGAGCACCGGGGCGCCGAGACACCAGGAGCACGCGGGGGCCGCGAGGCGGCGCTGGGGGCTGCGAGGGGGCGCCGAGCCGCCCGAGCACGCCGGGGCTGCCAGCAGGCGCTGGCATAGCACGAGGGGCCGCGCGCGGAGCTGCGAGGAGCAACGCGCAGAGCCACGGGGGCCCCTGGCGGAGCCACGAGGGCCACTGGCGGCGCCGCGCGGGCCACGAGCAGGGCCTCGACGGGAGTGCGCAGAGCTACGAGGGCTACCGTTGAGTCGGGCCTGTCCCCCTACAGGGGGAGCCTGGACGAAGAAGGAAAAATACTCCCAAATGGCCAACAAAAATGCTAAAAAAAAATGCTCCCCCGACTATTCTTTGGCTCTTTTTGCATACTCCCCCCTGTAGAGGGGCAGGCCCGACTTCAGGCCTACCGGCAGAGCCCCCCGGGCCACCGGGGGAGCTCCCCGGGCCACCCTGCAAAGCCAGGCGGCGCGGGCCCGCTGCACAGCCACGACGAGGGGGCGCGAGCAGACCCACCATTCGGACGCCCGAAATGGGTACCGAATTAGCCCGGCGAAGGACCCAACCATATGCAGTTGTGGGTATCGCATTCGGGGGAGCCCCGTATGGGTCCACGAAACGCTGTACTGGGTGGGAAGGCGCATGCGAACTGCGCCACTGGGACCTTCGGTGGAGCTCCCTATGGGGCCACGAAACGCTACCCCTTGGTTGGGGAACCGCATGCGGGCTGTGCCACTGGGATCTTCGGGGGAGCTACCAATGGGGCCACGAAGCGCTGCCCTGGGCCTATGGGGCTACGAAACGCTGCCCTGGGTGGGGGAACCTCGTGCGGGCTGTGCCACTGGGACCTTCGGCGGAGCTCCCTATGGGGCCACGAAACGCTGCCCTGTGTGGAGGAACCGCATGCGGGCTGTGCCACTGGGACCTTCGGTGGAGCTCCCTATGGGGCCACGAAACGCTGCCCTGGGTGGGGGAACCGCATGCGGGCTGTGCCACTGGGATCTTCGGGGGAGCTACCTATGGGGCCACGAAGCGCTGCCCTGGGCCTATGGGGCTACGAGACGCTGCCCTGGGTGGGGGAACCTCATGCGGGCTGTGCCACTGGGACCTTCGGCGGAGCTCCCTATGGGGCCACGAAACGCTGCCCTGGGTGGGGGAACCGCATGCGGGCTGTGCCACTGGGACCTTCGGTGGAGCTCCCTATGGGGCCACGAAACGTGTGAGTGGTGTGCCGAGAGCAGAGGCAAGGAGGGGGAGGAGGGAGGAGGGAGGGGGCAGCGGGAGGAGAAGGAGACGCGGGGCACCGTCTCTTCAAAACGAGGACCCAACACCACAGGATGGTTGGGAAAAAATGGGTACAATGCCCAACAACAAATGTTGTCCCAAACCATCAGCGGCCGCTGTTGGGCAGGCGGCCTTCTGTCTCGAATGGACACAGGCCGCGGCGGCGTGGACAGCGAATCCTGCTCAAAATGCACAGGAACTGCTGGGTTCTTCCCATATTTTCCAAATGTGTATGTGTGTGTTTTTTCCCTCCTCAAGCAAGGAGGGTCACCAGCAGACCTACGAGCACAACCGGAGTAGCACTACAATCGGCCCGCATCAAAAAAATGCGCGAGAAGGGTGCAAGGGCCTTGGACGCCCATTGCGAAGCTTTTCGGGCGGGGCCTGGCCAGCGAAGGTTGCCAAGGTTGGACCGAGGAGGCAAGGATGCAAGGATGGCCTTGGCAACGTCGCTCATCCTTACCATGCGGGCTAACTGTACTAGGCGGCGCGCACAAGGGGGTGGAGGGAGGGGGGAGGGTTTCTTAGAAGGAGGCTGCTTCTTAGAAGGCGCCGGCCTTGCATTTAGAGATAAGGCCCGCGCCTTCCAAGAAGCAGGGGTGCTTCTAAGAAGCCCTCCCCCCACCCACCTCTGCCTTGGCTGACATGTGACATGTGGCGGCCAGGCAAGGGAAAGGCGGCATCGTCCAGGTGCTCGTCGCCGATAGCAGGGAGCCCCATAGGAGCATGGAGAAAGAGGAGAGGAGGAGGCCACCGCATTGACCACCCAAACGGCCGGGGAAGAGAAGCAAAAAACCGAACTCTACGCACCGACGCGTTTTCCGGCCCTGCATTGAAATGTGCACAGAAGAACGGGTCTTGGTGCATGCCGGACCTTGGTGTATACATGTTCCGTTGTCCCAGGCAACGGATTAAAACTAGTATACACCAAAACATCCCGCCGTCGCCCCCGACACTCAAAAAGACCAGGGATTGAAAAGCAGCCCGCCACTGGTGATGTATATGTTCCAATTTCCGAAGAAGTGGGGCAAATCACGGAGGTGGAGAAGGGCGAGGAGACGGAGGACGAGGACGGATTGGGCTGGTACTACATGGATAGAAGATAAAACTGGAAAGGAGTTTGGCCAATGTACTGCGTACGCAATACGGAAGTGGTACCAGCAGGGCTTCTCCGTCCCTCGCCCTCGAGAGTAGCTCCAAGCAAGGCCAGATAGCGGTCTCGATGCGTCGCGCGCCGCGAAATCTACCCGGATTCGAGCAAAACGTCCGTCGCACAGACACACCTTAACCAGGACAGGTGCAACTACCACATTCGACTACGCGCAAGAGCGATCCTGGGTGCGCAGCTTGGCGTGCGCGGTGGCCAAACCCAGGCGCGCAAGCCGCTGGCACCGCTTCGCGCTCAGCGATCAGGGGACCCACGCTGGCGCCGCACCGCAGGCCACTCCGGCGAACGGCCACTCCCGCATGCCGTCGAACCCAAATCCCAGACAGCTGCCCTCGCCTGGCGCGCCCCGTTTGCCTGCTCCTCTGCCCTCGCGCCTCCGTGCTATAAGCGCCGCCTGCATGCCGGCTCTGGGGCTCTGGGGCACGACCGCGCCCTCCTTCTCTCCTTCCTTCCTTCCTCCAGTGCTCCTTCGTGCCCGGTGCCCGCTCGCGCTCCTTCCCCGCTTCGGAGCAGGTACCCTCGGCGGCGACGAGGGGTGCTGCCGGCACTGCGAGCCGTTCGCGCTCGCCGCGGGCGCGCGCGGAAGGCGGTGGCGGAGCTGGGACGACCGCTCCCAGGTCTTGCGCGGCAGGAGGAGCACGAGGAGAAGGAGGAGGAGGAGGAGGAGGAGCACGAGGAGGAGGAGGAGGAGGAGGAGGAAGGAGGAGGATGACGAGAAAGGTGGCCCAGGAGGAGAAAGGGAGGAGGAGGGGGAGGGAGAGGAGGAGGAGGGGGAAGAGGGGGGGAGGAAGGGCAGGGGGGAGGGGGAGGGGCAGAAGGAAGAGGGAGGAGGAGGGGGAGGAGGAGGAGGAGGAGGAGGAGGAGGAGGAGGAGGAGGAGGAGGAGGAGGAGGAGGAGGAGGAGGAGGAGGAGGAGGAGGGGGAGGAAGGAGGAGGAGGAGGAGGAGGGGGAGGAGGAGGAAGAGGATGAGGAGGAGGCGGAGAACGTGGAGGCGGGGGAGGAGGCGGGGCGGCAGGCCTCCTCGACAGCGCGGACACCGTCCTGGAGACGCTGGACGCCATGCTTGTCCGCCCCTGCAGGCCTCCTACGTCCGTGGGGCCGGAATGAACAAGGGCGCCCAACTTCGCGCTCCGCGCTGCGCGAAGCGCGAACAGCTTCGCGCGCTCGCGGCACCCCCTAGGGGAGAAGAGGAGGAAGAGCAGGACTCGGGGCCGGTCCGCGAAGCGCGAACAGCTTCGCGCCCCCGAGGGCGCCATTGACGATGGCGGGCCCCCCGGCCGCTCCGCACCGCCGACGCCCGGGCGCTGCAGGGCTGGGTGGGAAGGCGCCTCGGCGGCGCCGAGATGATGCCCTGAGGGATGGGGCCCCAAGGAGGATGAGGAGGAGGAGGAGGAGGAGGAGGAGGAGGAGGAGGAGGAGGAGGAGGAGGGGCCCCATCCCTCGAGGCCAAATCGTTGAGCTGCCGATCTCTGGTGCCGGATCGAGCCGTGTCTCCGATGCATCGGCGGGGCGGGGCGACCGGGAGGACCCGCTCAGTCGGGCCCCAGCTATGGGCTGCCGCGAGAGGCAGGCCGACGCGTGACCTGGTCAGACGCCGGAGTCTCGAGCCGGAGCTGCAGACGCTCGAGCAGCTTCTCGCCCGCTCGCACTGCCCCCTCGGGGCCTTGAGAGTTCATTAATCTATGACCCCGAGGCAGCTCAGGCTAATGACGGCGTGCCGTCTCCAGATGCGGATGTCTCGCCTGCGGATTCCTCACAACTTGTGGATCTGAATGTTGGATAACGGTGTCGGCACGACTTATACTCGCGCTCTCGCCCGAGACTCCACACTTTCTACGAGAACCGCACATTCGCGCGTAGCGTAGGTTACTGCACGCACCGGATCTGTCATACAATGATGCAGTATCCAATACATACATACACGCACACGTGCGTCCGCCCATACTTACACCAATCCAATCATGCACCTAGACGCGCATCAAATGATCCAGGCATCGATCCATGCAATCACCCAAACCATCCATCGAAGCAACACGAAAGTCGTAGCCGTCCTGGGTGAAGACGACCCTGTTCCCCTTGCTTACCTATATTGTATTGCTTCTCCTGCTCCATCGCCTCCTCCTGCTCCTGCTCCTCCTCCTCTCCTCCTCCATCCCCCTCATCGACGTCCTCCTGCGGGCTGTGCTGGGGCAATCAGGCCCTCGTGGGCTTTTCTTGCTTTGGGGCCTCTTAGGCCCTCCAGGGGCCATCTTGGAACATGATTGGCGCGTCGCGTTGCGCTCTGAAGCCGTCTTGTGCCGTCACAAGGGCCTCTTGGGCTGTATTGGGCTCCTTTTGAAGCCCCTTCTAGGGACCCCTATAATTGTGGGCCGTCCTGGGGCCCTTTTGGCGCCCTCTTGGGACGTGTCTGGGATATCTTTGGCTGCACTGATACCTCCTTGGCACTGGTAACTACAGGGATCACCCCGAACATGCCAGAAAGCTTCAGACATTACATGAGGTGTGTATTTTGCTGTCAGGGATTCTTGGACTCATCTAAGAATTATTTTTTGGGATGCGCTGGCAAGAACTTGGGCTCTTTTGCGGCCTTTTGGGCCCCTCAAGAACGCCCGGGTTGAAACTCTTACGGGATCAAAACCTTTCGCTGCCGAAAAGACGGGGAGAGAAATCCGCAAAGGTAGGACAGCCCCGCCCAATGCCCAGGCATATCTATCGAACGTTCGAACAACTGCGTGCGTTGATGGCTGACTTTCGAAATTTGCGCTCACGCTTGAAAGCTCCTCCCATATCACATGCGACCCCTCCCCTCCTCTTACAAGACATAGCGCGCTGCATTGTCAGCACATTGGCATGACACGCGTTTTACCGTCAACCAGCACACGGAAGGATGCAGGCCTGTTGCGAAAACT